CTTTCAGGGCTTTGTTTAACCGTTGTTCGACATGGAGAAGCCATGTTCAGTATGGCTTCCTCATCAGTCGAGGGAGGACAGTATGTGGTAATATGCAGAAAGCTTCCTTGCCCATGTTTAATCTGAAGCCATGCGATTTCATGGGGTCTGGAGTGAATCCTGGGCAATGTTCCCACACTATTCCACTGCACCACCACCTCTAAAGGCTCTGTCCGGCCAGTGGGACTGGACATACCCATTGGATAGTAATGGTGGTGTCTGGGACATTGTCTAAGTAATGATTCGATGAGTATGACTATGTCAGCCTGTTGCTTGACTAGTCTGTGAGATAGTTCTCCCAAGTTTGGCATTAGCCCCCAGATGTTAGTATGGAGGGGTGTGTTGGATCAACATGCTTTACAGCTGCTGAGGTTGATGCCATGTGGTCCCTCCAGTTTCATTTCTTTGTTGAGACTTCACAGCGATTGACACAACTGAGTGGTTTGTTGGGCCATTTCAGAGGACACAACATTGTGGGGGGCCTGGAGTCACATTGTAGGCCAGACCAGGTAAGGAGGCAGTTTCCTTCCCTGAATAACATTAATGAGCCAGATGGGTTTTTCCAACAATTAATAATAGTTTCATGGCTGTCAGTAGATTGTTAATTCCAGATTTTTTTTGTTACTGAATTTAATTTCAACTCTCTGCCGTGGGTCCCCAGAACATTAGCTGAGTTTCTGGATTAATAGGCTTGCAACAATACCACTTGGCCACTGCCTCCCCTTCATCTTCTGACAAGCCGGTGATTATACTGCTGGCTGTACAAATGAGGGAACTCTGCAACCTTAATGTTCCTACATTTTTGGCCACTTCATCTTCCAAGATATTTCAAATGAGGTAATTTATTCTCTGTAAATTTAGGCATTAAATTAAGAATTCTGGTAAAATCAAATCCTTCTCTGGAATCAGAATTATCCTTCTAACTACTACCTCTACATTCTTCCTTTATTATAAGCTTTTATTCTAACTAAGTCATGTTGATTGATCTCCCTATTTCTTTCGAGTTCAACATTTTATAATCCATTTCAAATTCCACCGTTCTCTTTCCCCAACTCTTGCCAATTTAAGCTTCCTTATTTCTAGGTCTCTTTACATTTCATATTTTTCTTTCTGTCCTCTATCCATTTTCTTTATCACTTTCCTTCAAATTCAGAAAGTACTTTATTCCCCCATTTTTAACTGGACTACATGCTGGGTAGTCACTCAGTATCTCACCCATATTTCAGTCCCTTTTTAACTTCCATCTTCATCCAATGAGCCATGGCTTTGGTTCCCATACTTTTCACCGTTCTGGTAACGCAACAAGACTCTACCTAAAACATTACTTCCTTCGAGATGATCTGTTGTTCCGTGATAGATTTTCCTTTGGTTCTATTTTATCCTGCCTGGGTTCCTTCTCAATCCTTTGAAGTTGGCCACTTTCCAATTAGAAGTTCTTCTTTTTCCCAAATAAGCAGGGCAAGGAACGAATCTATTGCAAATCTAAACTCATAGATGCAATTAAAGTTCTTAGACAAGTACTCTCCCACAGACACTTGATTCATTTGGTCTACCTCATTCCCCAGGAACATGTTGCTTCTTTTCTAGATTTACTGAAAACATACTGGTCAATGAACTTCTCCTGAATGCATTTTGGAAGTTCTTCTTCAATATTTCCCTTGCTCAATATTGGTTAGAATTAGAATTAGGGTTATTGTCACATGTACTCAAGTACAAGGATACATGTGTACTGTGAAAAGTGTATAAAATCACCATTTCTAGCACCATCTTAGATGCAATGATACCGAGGCACAAAATCTTAGGTATAAACTAGAAAATAAAAGAAATAAAGGTAAAAGTTCAGCACGACAGCCTTTCGAAAGCAGGAGTCCACACTGGTCTTCACCCCGAGCCCAGGAATCCACATTGGATTTCCTCAAGCCTGGTAGTCTGAGCTGGGCTTCCTTGAGCCGGGTGTCCACCCTGGACTTTCTCAAGGCCGGGAGTTTCTGGATATCAAAAATAAATAGTAATTAACAAGTCCCCCAATTTCACCACTCTATAGATCTTGAATATCTGATTTCCCTGCGGATTTGCTCTGCTATCTCGCTCCATTTGAAGGAGCAACAAATGGATACTGTCCTGGCTTCTCAAGAGCATCTTCTCTTTCATACACTACAATGTCCTGCTTAAATCAGGACCGGTAGTCACTTTTTTGCCCTCCTCCAACTTAGCTGAACATTCCTCTCTGAGTACTTAGTACCTGTCTTTTACTCACCAGAAACTAATATTACTGGACAAAATCCATGCATATACTTTATGGTTAGAGTGTATTCAGCCAACAACACACCATAAAACTCAACCTTTGACTCTGTTTTGTACACATTTGTATATTCATTTTTGTGCTTGTAAAAAGTAAGTCAACCGAATTAAAAAGGGATTCAATCATTACAGCACTGTCGGTAAAAAAAGAAAACTGGGGGATCAAATTAACATGTTGCTAGTGCAGGAAATAATGCCCTAGCCACAAACCCCTGTGCCCAAAAGCTTATACGTTTGGATACAAATAACTACTTGTTACATTCTCTGTTATGATGCCTTCTTCTCCCTCCCCCAAAACCAGGGGAACTGTCTGTTCCTTCCAGTCTGGCAGGTAGACAACATTGTTCTGCCATTCTCGTATTCCGATCACTGAAACTGAACTATCAACTTATTTTCTCCACGAGCGCCCGACACCCACCACCCCTACACCCCTAAATACTGTCCCCTCCACACTTCACTTCAGCTCTGATGAAGAGTCATTTAGACTCGAAATGTTAGCTTGCAAAACAAAGAGTTGACCCCAACTGAGTGTTGCAGATTGGCACATGCCAAGGTCCAGGACTATGTGTTGAGGATGCACTAACGTTTGGGGCAGCTGCCACCAAGGCACAGTGGGGAAAGACCACTGTCTGAGATCTTCCTGCTGAAGGCAAATAGGGGTCTGGTCAGTTATCGGACGCTCCCAGTGCCTCAGATATTTGCAAATATTAGTACTGTATGTGTAAGAGAAATCTTTGTTTTTTTGGACAGTCAAAGTCCAATGTTTTGTTTATTTGCTTGGTATGCAACTGATCAGAACCGAAATGCTTTTGTGACAATGTATAGATACAAAGAGATTCTTTTATGAATGAAGTATATTTTTGAATAAAAAAAACTAGCATGCTCTCTATCCATGGATGCTGTCTGACCTGCTGTGATCTCCAGATTTCTTGCTTTCAGTACAGAATCCAGCGTCTGCAGTAATTTGCTCCTGTCATTATTTTTAAGCTACATTAACAATATTGCCATAACACCACATTCCCGTGAGGTTGTATGTGTTTGTGGTTCACAAACCTCATTCCCGTACAGACATATGAATTCTAAACCTATCCGTACTCTTTGTCAAACTTCTTAGCAGACCCTTATCTAACATGGTATAATTTGCTCTTCCATAAAGGTCTGCAAAGTATTTGCAATCACTTTCAGCCTGAAGTGTTAAGTGGATAATTCATATTGGCCTCATCCTGAGGTGCTCAACATCATAGATACCAGTCTTTAGTCAATTTGATTCACTACATGTGATATCAAGAAATGGCTCAAAGCACTAGACATGCAAAATACTGCTGGCCTCAACAATATTGCAAAAACAGCACTGGGAATTTGTGCTCCAGAAATAACCATGCCTCTAGCCAAATTGTCCCAGTTCAGGTACAACAACAATAGCTACCTGACAATGTCGAAAATTGCTCAAGTATGTTCTGTCAACAAAAATCGGGGCAAATTCAAACTCAGCCACTTACTGCCTTAACAACTCCTTTTCATCAACATGATGAAAGGGGTAATTAACAGTGTTACCAAGCAGCACAGGAATATCCTGCTTACTGATATTTACTTTGGAGGGAGAGGAGGGGAGGGAGGGAGGCAGAAGTGGGAAGCAATAGACCAGTTAGTTTAACATATGTCATTGGGAAGTTTTTAGAACATATTATTAAGGAAGTAATAACATGACACTCAAAGTCAAAACACAATCCAGAATTAGCATGGTTTTATAAAGGGCAAATTCACTGAATCCCGACGGTGCAGAAAAAGGCCATTCGGTCTATTAAGTCTGCATGTACCTTCCAAAGAGTACCGATCCCGAACCCAGACCCCTACCCTATCACTGTAATACCGCATTTTTCATTGCTGACATGCCGAGCTTGCACATCCGAATCCACCCAACCTGCACAACTTTGGACTGTGGGCATAAACCCACTCAGACACGGAGAATGTACAAACTCTACACGGACAGCTGGAATTGAACCCGGGTCTCTGGT